AATCTTCCATGTAGGCGCGGTTAAGAATCTGCCATGTAGGCACGGTTAAGAATCTGCCATATAGGCACGGTTAAGAATCTGCCATGTAGGCGCGGTTAAGAATCTGCCATGTAGGCGCGGTTAAGAATCTGCCATGTAGGCGCGGTTAAGAATCTGCCATGTAGGCGCGGTTAAGAATCTGCCATGTAGGCGCGGTTAAGAATCTGCCACGTAGGCGCGGTTAAGAATCTGCCATGTAGGCGCGGTTAAGAATATCCACTACCTAATATCTTCCCGCGGGTATCGTAAAAGGCGACATAGGGAAACAGGCAGAAGATAGGCAGCAGCTTCTTCCTGATAACAGCAAATTTACAACAAAAAACTGCGGTTGCCATCCAGCTTGCCTAGCGTGGCAGCTATGGCAATATACCCCCCATGAGCAATGACACAAATAGACGGCCCCCAGTCCCCGGCGGCCCCGCTATTCCCGGTTACGGTGGCGACCATGGTAACTGCGGGGCAGGGGGTACTAAGAATCTCTGGTGGCGGTTCGGTTGCCCACTAAAACGACCTGACCTGGCAACATACAACACACGCACCCTGAGGACTGACGATAATATCTTGGAATTGGAAGAAGAAATAGTCAAGTTGCACTGGAATATTATAGGATTATTCGAGATCCGAAGAGAGGGGGAGAACATGGTGATTTTCGCATCCGGCAACTCTTTCTATCACTGGGAGGTCGTCCATCCCAAGGAGGTGTTGGATCTATTGTCCACAAGTCTCTCATTAACAACGTTGTGAAGATTGGAAGTGTATCGACGAGGGCTGCGTACCTTATACTCAGAATAACCAAACGGTATTGGCTGAGGGTCATACAGGTTTACGCACCAACATTGGCACATCCCGATGAGGAGGTGGAGGAAATGTATGAGGATATTTTTAGAGCCATGCATTCCTCCAAAACCCACTACACGGTGTTGATGGGAGACTTCAACACAATAGGGAAAGGGAACCCATGGGGCCAGCAGCTGGCCGATTTCATGGAGAAAAATAGACTCTTTATGATGATCTCTCTTCCAGAAGCGGCCCCACAGAAAGTGCACCTGGTCGAGCCCCGATGGTTCGACAAAAAATGAGATTGACTTCATTATGACGACTAGACGGCAACTGTTCAGTGATGTCTCAGTGATCGCAAGGGTGAAAACAGGCAGCAGTCACCGAATGGTTAGAGGCACACTGAACCTAAACGTTAAGTGGGAGAGGTCTCGTCTAATGAAGTCAACGCTACGTCCCCTTCGTGCTCTAATGCAAAGTCCTGAAACCTTTCCGCTCAAATTACAAAACCGTTTTCAGTACCTAGAAGATTGCGATGCAGTGGACGATATGAATCACAAGCTCGTGGAAACTGTCCATGTGGTTGGAGCTAAGTTCTGCAAGACCCGTCGAAGAAAAACACAAAAACTCCCCGATCACGCTCTTAATCTCATGGCTGTTAAACGGGAAATGAAACTGCAGTATTCAACAGATTTGACAGTATACAGGCAAGTGAACAGACAGATCTCCAACTTTAATACTGCTCGTATTGAAGAAGCGATCGACCGGAACCAGTGCTCCAAAGTCCTTGCCAGAGATCTGTCTGCCAGTAAGAGCCAACTGTCAGAGCTGAAGACTGAGTGTGGCAGCATCGTTTTTGGGACACCTGAGATTTACAGTGCTATAGGCAGCTGTACACATAATCTTTGGAGCCACATGTAAGTGTGAGTAACGATCCAAGAGCAAGTCTTATCCGACACTATTCCGATGATATCCAGGACGTCAGTCTAAGCGAGATTAGAATGGCTCTCCAGCACCTTAAAAACGGCAAGGCCCCAGGCGAGGATGGAATTACAGCGGAGCTTCTAAAACCGGGTGGAACCCTGGTAATTAAAGTCCTTCAGGAGCTCTTCAATTCCGTCCTCCATGGTGGCACTACTCTGGAGGCGTGATGCAGAAGTGCGGTGGTCTTGTTCTTCAAGAAAGGTGACAACGCTCTTTTGAATAACTACAGACCGATTTTCTTTCTGAGCCGCGTCTACGTGTTGTTTTCGAGAGTCATTACGAATCGTCTCGCACGCAGACTCGACGACTTCCAACCTCCAGAACAACCCGGTTTCCGAAAAGGCTTTAATACCATAATCCACATACATACCCTCCGGCAAATTGTACAGAAGTCCGAAGAGTACAATCTGCCACTTTGCCTGACGTATGTGGACTATGAGAAAGCCTTTTAATTCTGTTAAAATTTGGGTGGTGCTACAGTCCCTTCAGCTTTGAAATAAAATGAAATGAGATGTTTATTTGCTTTTGGTTAAGGTACACTGAAGATGGTGGTATTAATTAATCCGCTTAATCAGCCATTATTAATGGCATGCAAATCTTACAAATATAAAATAATGCGATAGTAATATTTTTTGCCAAGTTAACTGTCGGTATATCGAAGTGCTGAAGTGTTTGTACAGTAGGGCTAGGATGGCTATCCGAGTACCAGAACCAGAGTATGATACCTATCCAACTGCAGAGAGGTGTAAGACAGGGTGACGTTGTATCCCCGAAACTCTTCACCGCTGCATTGGCAGACGTTTTAAAGCTACTGGACTGGAAAGGATACGGTATAACATCAATGGCGAGTACATCACTCACCTTTTATTTGCCGACGATATAGTCCTTATGGCAGAATCGCTAGAGGACCTAAGCATTATGTTCAAAGGTCTTAAGATGAACATGAAAACAAAGATCATGTATGTCCATGTTACACCTATGCCGGTAATTGTTGGGAGCACTAAGTTGTTTGTTGACAAGTACGTTCACCTGGGACAAATAGTCCGACTATACTACGGCCAACGAGAAGTGATACCAAATGTAAACAAAACTAATGCAAGGTTATTAGGAATAGCAGGGGTGCGTAACTTTTTGATAGTTAGATTGTATATTTAAGTAGATAGTTTTCAAAATGTCTAGCAAACCAAAAAAATAGACTTTTGATAAATTTTGTTTTAATTTTAATTATTGGGTGCGTTTGGTAGAAAAAAAGCGCTAGCAAGCGCTTATAAGCGCTAAAATAGTTTTAGGCCAGGATACGATTGCTACTTCAGTAGCGCTGACACAATCCGCCATTTTGCTTATTTAATTTGTTTGTTTTGAAGTAGAGTTTATAAGTTGTTTTGTGCAATATTAGTTTTAAGTAATGTAATGACATGAATAGGCGTATACATGTTATTAAAAATTCATGATTGGTAAGTTTTTAATATGAATACTTTACAAACATATATTTAAATTATGTTAGGTTCCCCGGTTAAAACTAACTTCGTGTCCTAGAGGAAAATAGCTACTTACGATTTGACAGCGCTTACCGCTTACGATCGTCATTTTGCTTATAAGCGCTTGCTAGCGCTTTTTTTTCTGCCAAACGCACCCATTGTATAATTAGGTTTAAAATAAATAAATGCTTTCTGCGCCATTTCTTTTCTTTATAGGTATTTATCATTAGGCCAAGTTCTTTAACATATTTAACGGCACACCACCTGCGACTTTACAAGGCGCAGGTTCGGCCGCACATGGAATACTGTTCCCATCTCTGGGCTGGGGCTCCCCAGTACCAGCTCCTTCCACTTGACCGCATCCAGCGCAGAGCGGCTCGAATCGTCGACGACCGAGTGCTTTCCGATCGGCTCGATTCACTGGCACTGCGAAGAGATCTTGCATCTCTTTGCATTTTATTTCGCATATACCATGGAGAGTGCTCTGAGGAATTGTTCGAATTAATCCCAGCCGCCAAATTTCGTGAACGCACTACGCGGCAAACGTCCCGGTACCATCCACACCATCTGGATGCTTGGCGGTCCACCACAGTACGTTTCAAAAGGAGTTTTCTTCCGCGTACAACCTCTCTGTGGAATAGTTTACCACCGGCGATTTTTCCGGACCGATACGACTTGGGGACCTTCAAGAAAAGAGCTTACTCCTTTCTAAAGGGCCGGCAACGCACCTGCAATTCCCCTGGTGTTGCGGTTGATCATGTGCGGCGGTAGTCACTTAACATCAGGTGCGCCGTTTGCTCGTTTGCCCACTCTTCTATAAAAAATATTTTTAGGTATTAATAACCATATTTTTTTCATTCACAGTAAAACTAGTCACCTAAAATTAAAAATTAAATTAAAATGATATTCATGCTTTACTTACATGCATCTTTGATAGATTAAAAAAAATTTATTATTACAGTTGCTGTTTTTTAAATAACTTTAAGATAACTTTAAAGTATACTCCGAACCAAGAAGTTTTAATTATAACTAATAAACAACATTCATATTTATCCTAATCCTATAAGCGTTCGGGAAATTACGACACATCTTCTCGTCAGGTATACCTCAAAACATGAAAACTAGATTGTACAACCAGTGCGTGTTGCTAGTGATGACTTACGGATCTGAGACATGGTCCTTCATGCCTAGCCGTATGAAGATGCTCAGCGAGCTATGGAGAGGGTTATGCTCGGAGTTTCTCTGCGTGATAAACTTAGAAATGGGGATATCCGCAGTAGAACCAAAGTGACCGAAATAGCATAACGCATTAGTAAGCTGAAGTGGCAATAAGCCGGCCATATAGCTCAAAAACGACAACCGATAGGGTTAAAATTCTCGAGTGGGCAGCCTCGTACCAGTAGGCGTAGTGTAGTACGACCCCCCAATAGATTGAGTGACGACCTGGTAAACATGCAGGAAGTCGATCCCTGGCCGCTGGATGCTGGTGGCTCAGGACCGTGCTTTGTGGCATTCGTTTGGGGAATTCTATGTTCATGTACAAAAAAGCTGTGTAGTTGTATGGAGTGTGATGGTGACTCAGATGTAGATTCTACTTGAAGGAGCCATAAAACAAAGAACAAGTATTCTTGCCCGCTCCTATTAGACTAAAGGAGTTACGGAGATTCGGATGTAAGTTAGTGTGCAGGGCGTGTAGTGGTGTACACTTAAGTGTTGTGTAAGGTTCTATCTGGAGGAGCTGAGCGCGTGGCTGGCGGCGGGCGGCGCGGGCACGGCGGCGCGGCGGTGGAAGGAGCTGCTGCACGTGTTGCCGGCGCCGCTGGCGCACGCACAGCGGCCGCGCGCCTGGCGCCGCCTGTTCTCGGGCGAGGCGATGGCGCGGGCGCTGGCGCGCGTGCGCGTCGTGGGCTACGACGAGCGCGTGCGCCTGTACGGCGCGCTCGACGCCACGCCCGTCAGCTCCGGCTTCTGCCTCGGCTCCGCCAACTGGGTGCTGCGCACGCCACACGAGAAGGTACGCCAGTTAAATTTTTTTCTTTATGGACTGATTGCTTACAGAATCAACTTTTCAGCATGAATAACGAGTCTGTCATGAAAATTATAAAAGTCATCACCTATTCGAATATTCAATTTATCCATCACAACTCATAAAAGTCTTCTGCTGGACAACCAATAACAAACAGGTGTTCCTCATAGATTGACTCATAACGGGGCAGGGAGACAAGCTGCAAGAGACTGGCGAGTTGCCAACTACAGTCTTGATTATATTAAGTTGTTATTAAGAAAATGCTGCTGCCCACCTGTTACGGTTTCCACCTGTGCCTTTCACGACATGCACCGAGCGATACGGGCAGTTGATATTCTTACACTGCCACTACACGATTAGTTCTTAGCCGAGTATTCATCGCAAGGTTTTTGTCGAATTGTTACGGGTTTAAAGACTAACATACGATTGGAGAATGGCGTAGAGCAGCAGTGTGCAATGAAGTGGGTGCGTGTGTGTGGTGCAGATCGCGTACGTGAGCGGGTCGAGCACGTTGACGACGCACCCGCGGCCCATCAACCAGGCAGCGCTGCGCGGCGCCGACGTGTTGATCCTGGCGGCGCTCACACAGACGCCGGCGCACAACCCCGACCACATGCTGGGCGACCTGTGCGTGCACGCGGCGCTCACGCTGCGCGGCGGCGGCTCGCTGCTGCTGCCCGTGTACCCGTCGGGAGTGCTGTACGACTTGCTCGAGTGCCTTTCCGCGCACCTGGACGGCGCGGGCCTGGCGCACGTGCCGCTCTACGTGGTGTCACCGGTGGCCGACTCCTCGCTAGCCTACAGCAACATACTGGCCGAGTGGGTGTCGGCGGGCAAGCAGGCGCGCGTCTACCTGCCCGAGGAGCCGTTCCCGCACGCGTCGCTGGTGCGCGCTGGTCGCCTGCGCCACGCTAAGCAGCTGCACGACGACGCCTTCTGCGCGGACTTTCGCCAGGTCAGTCTCGCCTGAACTCGCTCACTGTGCTCGTGTCTTTGCACGACGACGCCTTCTGCGCGAACTTACCCCAGGATGGCCTCGCCTTAACTCGCTCATTGTGCTCGCATTCTTGCACAACGACGCCTTCTGTGCGGACTTCTTACAGGTTGACCTCGCCTCAAATCGCTCACTGTGCTCGCGTTCTTGCACGACGACTCCTTCTGCGCGGACTTTCAACAAGTCGACGTCGCCTTACCTTATATGTAACATGCAGAAACAAATTATACGCTCTCTTGGTAGGTAATATTACGTTGGATTCTGTGTTCGATCTTTGTGACACTAGAATTGAAGAGTGGGTTGGGTTCTTGTGGCATTTTAATAATATGTCGTGTGCAGTTTATCGCTTCATTCGTGGTTCAAACAGACGAGGATAACTTAAATAGAATATATTTCATTGCAGGCAATATATATTTATGCACACATTATTCGCTTGCAGCCCTGCGTGGTGTTCTGCGGACACCCCAGCCTGCGGTTCGGTGCCGCCGTGCATTTGGTGGAGCTGTGGGCCAACAACCCAGCGCACGCAATCATTTTCACAGGTACCGTTCGTTTTTCTTTCCCATTGTCACTCTCGTAACCAACAATCCCCTTTCCCATCCTACTTCTTCCTTCTTGTCATCTGAAATAAAAGCAATCGATCTAATAACAAGAATTTCTCTTTTGACGAATAATTTATATTTGTAGACTATGTAGACTAAACTTTGATTTTAAAAGATCAAGAAACTCGAGTTTTAAAAATGCTATTTAATTCACATTAATACACTATATGCTACACTATATAATATATATATTGCCGTGTAGTGGCGGTTGAGAATATCCACTGCCCCATATCTTCCCGTGGGTGTCGTAAGAGGCGACAGAGGGAGACAGGCAGGAGATGGGCAGCAGCATCTTCCTGATAACAACAATAATATACTAAAAACTGTGGTTGCCAACCCGCTTGCCAAGCGTGGCAACTATGGCAAATATCCCCCCATGAGTAACGACGCAAACAAACGGCCCCCAGTCCCCGGCGGCCCCGCTATTCCTGGCTACGGTGGCGACCATGTTAATGGCGGGGCAGGGGGTGCTAAGAATCTCCGGTGAAGGCAAAGACCTGGCAATATATAACGCACGCACCCTGAGGACTGACGAGAAGATACTGGAGCTGGAAGAAGAGGTAGACAAGTTGCTCTGGCATATTATTGGATTATCCGAGGTCCGAAGAGAGGGGGAGGACACGGTAATCCTCGAGTCCGGCAACTTGTGCTATCAAGAATTATCGTCCACAAGTCTCTCGTCAACAACGTTTTAAAGATTGGAAGTGTGTCGACGCGGTTCGCGTACCTGATACTCAGAATCTCCAAACGGTATTCGCTGAAGGTCATACAGGTTTACGCACCAACCTCGGCAGATCACGGTGAGGAGGTGGACGAAATGTATGAGGATATTTCTAGAGCCATGCATTCCTCCAAAACCCACTACACGGTGTTGATGGGAGACTTCAAATGCAAAACTAGGCACTAGAGAAAGCGGTGAGCTGAAGTTAGGGAAATTTGGAGTAGGGCAACGGAACCGTAGGGGCCAGCAGCTGGCCGACTTTATAGAGAAAGAGGGACTCTTTATGATGAACTCTTTCTTCCAGAAGCGGCCCCACAGGAAGTGGACTTGGTCCAGCCCCGACGGTTCGACAAAAAATGAGATTGACTTCATTATGACGGCCAGAAGCCAACTGTTCAGTGAAATCTCAGTGATCGCAAGGATAAAAACTGGCAGCGATCACCGAATAGTTAGAGGCACATTGAATTGAAGTGAAGTCAACGCTCCGTCCTCGTGCGCTATCCAGGGTCCCGAAAACTTTCAGCTTGAATTACAAAACCGTTTTCAGTGCCTAGAAGACTGCAATACAGTGGACGATATGAATGACAAGCTCGTGGAAACTCTCCATGCGTTTGGAGCTAAGTTCTGCAAGACCCGCCGCAGAAGAACACAAAAACTCTCCGATCACACTCTTAATCTCTTGGAAGCTGCAGTCGTCAGCAGATTTGACAGCATACAGGCAACTGAATAGACAGATCTCCAAATGCATGCGGCAGGACTTACGAAACTTGAATACAGCTCGTATTGAATAAGCGACTGAGCGGAACCGGGGCTCCAAAGTCTTTGCCAGAGATCTGTCTGCCAGTAAGAGCCAACTGTCAAAGCTGAAGACTGAGTGTGGCAGCATCGTTTCCGGACACCTGAGATTCTGAGTGAGATTGAGAGGTTCTGTGGGCAGCTGTACACATCATCGTTGAAGCCACACGCAAGTGTGAGTAACGTACCAAGAGCAAGTCTTATCCGACACTATTCCGATGATATCCCGGAAGTCAGTCTGAGCGAGATTAGAATGGCTCTCCAGCATCTTAAAAACAGCAAGTACCCGGGCGAGGATGGAATTACAGCGGAGCTTCTGAAAGCGGGTGGAAAACCGGTACTTGAAGTCCTTCAGAAGCTCTTTAATTGAGTCCTTCATGGAGGCACTACTCCAGAGGTGTTGAGCAGAATTGCGGTGGTCTTGTTCTTTAAGAACGGTGACAACACCCTCTTGAGGAACTACAGACCGATATCCCTTCTGAGCCGCGTCTACGTGCTGTTTTCGAGAGTCATTACGAATCGTCTCGCACGCAGACTCGACGACTTCCAGCCTCTCGAACAAGCCGACCTCCGAAAAGCATTTAGCACCATTAGTCCACATACATACCCTCCGGCAAATTCTACAGAAGTCCGAAGAGTACAATCTGTCTGATGTATGTGGACTTTGATTCCGTCGAAATTTGGACGGTGCTACAGTCTCTTCAGCGGTGCCAAGTTGACTGTCGGTTTATCTAAGTGCTGAAGTGTTTGTCCAGTAGGGCTACGATGGCTATCCGAGTACAGAACCAGAGTACGAAACCTATTCAATTGCAGAGAGGTGTAGGACAGGGTGATGTTATTTCCCCGAAACTCTTCACAGCTGCATTGGACGTTTTCAAGCTACTGAATTGGAAAGGATACGGTATTAACATCAATGGCGAGTACATCACACACCTTCGATTTGCCGACGATATAGTCCTTATGGCAGAATCGCTGGAGGACTTCAGCACTATGGTCAATGACTTCAATAGTGCCTCCCAACGGATAGGTCTTATGATGAACAAGGACAAAACAAAGATCATGTTTAATGTCCATGTCACACCTATCCCCGTATTTGTTGGGAGCACTAAGCTCGAAGTTGTTGACGAGTACGTTTACCTGGGACAAATAGTCAATAGGACAATAGTCCGACTAGGTATGTCCAAATTCGACCGAGAGGTCAATCGACGGATTCAACTCGGCTGGGCAGCGTTCGGGAAATTACGCCACATCTTCTCGTCAGGTATACCTCAAAACCTGAAAACTAAGTTGTACAACCAGTGCGTGTTGCCATTGATTACCTACGCAACAGAGACGTGGTCCTTCACTGCTGGCCGTATTAGGACGCTCAAAGTCGCTCAGCGAGCTGTGGAGAGGGCTATGCTCGGGGTTTCTCTGCGTGATAAACTTAGAAATGAGGATATCCGCAGTAGAAGCAGAGTGACCAACATAGCCCAACGGATTAGTTAGCTGAAGTGGCAATGGGCCGGCCATATAGCTCGAAGAGCCGACAACCGTTGGGGAAAAAGGTTCTCGAGTGGCAGGCGTACCGGTGGGCGAAGTGTAGGGCGACTCCCCACTAGATGGAGTGACGACCTGGTGAAACATGCAGGAAGTCGATGGATGCAGGTGGCTTAGGACCGTGCTTTGTGGCATAGCTTGGGGGAGGCCTATGTTCAGCAGTGGACTTGTGAAGGGCTGTAATGATGATGATGATGATGACACTGTGTGAACTTTCAGATGTTCAATCTAAAAGTAGTCGGTCAAGAAACTAGAATATTCACCATAAAGTCTAAAATAATTTTAGTTTGTTCGTTACTTTAGCTTAAAAAAAATTTGCGAAGTAGAATGTTAAATTAAACAATAATAGTAAACAAAAGTGAATACGAAATTTATATGACTGCAGAACCGGACTTCCCGTACTTGGAGGCACTGGCGCCGTTCCAGCCGCTGAGTATGAAGGCGTTTCACTGCCCTATTGACACGTCGCTGAACTACGCGCAGGCCAACAAGCTGGTGCGCGAGCTGCGGCCGCGTGAGCTGGTGCTGCCCGAGCAGTATGCCGCACCTACCGGAGTACGTCCCACTGTTCCAGCGACACACCGACACGTCGATACACTGACACATTAACACCAACACATCAACGCACCGACGCATCGATACACTGACACAAAGACACGTCGATATGCCGACACGTCGACACACCGCCACATTGACACACCAACACATTGACACACCGCCACATTGACACATCGACACACCGCCACATTGACACACCGATACATCGACACACCGCCACATTTACACACCGACGCATCGACACACCGTCACATTGACACACCGACACATTAACACACCGACACATCGACACACCGTCACATTGACACACCGACACATCGACACACCGTCACATTGACACATCGACACACCGACACATCGACACACCGACACATTGACACATCGACACATCGACACAGCGTCACATTGACACACCGACACATCGGCACACCGTAACATTGACACACCGACACATCTACATACCGACACATTGACTTACCGACACATCGACACACCGCCACATTGACACACCGACACATCGACACATCGACACACCGCCACATTGACACATCGACACACTGTCACATTGCCACACCGACACATCGACACACCGACACATTGACACACCGACACATCGACACACCGTCACATTGACACACCGACACATCGACACACCGTCACATTGCCACACCGACACATCGACACACGCCAAACATTGACACACCGACACATCGACACACCGCCAGATTGACACACCGACACATCGACACACCGTCACATTGACACACTGACACACCGACACATTGACACACCGACACATCGACACACCGACACATTGACACACCAACACATCGACACACCGTCACATTGACCCACCGACACGTCGGCACACCGTCACATTGACACACCGACACATCTACATACCGACACATTGACACACCGAGACATCTACACACCGCCACATTGATACACCGACACATCGACACACCGCCGCATTGACACCGATACATTGACACACCGACAAATCGACACACCGCCACGTTGACACACCGATACATCTACATACAGCTACATTGACAGATCGATACACCGCCACATTGACACACCGATGCATCGACACACCGCCACATTGACAGACCGACACATCGACACACCGTCACATTGACACACCGACACATCGACACACCGTCACATTGACACACCGACACATCGACAAACCGTCACATTGACACACCGACACATCGACACACCGCCACATTGACACACCGACACATCGACACACCGTCACATTGACACACCGACACCGACACATCGACACACCGCCACATTGACACACCGACACATCGACACACCGTCACATTGACACACCGACACATCGACACACCGCCACATTGACACACTGACACATCTACACACCGCCACATTGACACACGGTCACATTGACACACCGACACATTTACACACCGACACATTAACACACCGACACATCGACACACCGCCACATTGACACACCGATACATCGACACACCGTCACATTGACACACCGACACATCGACACACCGACACATTGACACACCGACACATCGATATACCGTCACATTGACACACCGACACATCGACACACCGCCACATTGACACACCGACACATTGACACACTAACACATCAAAACATCGCCACATTGACACACCGACACATCGACACACCGCCACATTGACACACCGATACATCGACACACCGCCACATTGACACCGATACATGAACACACCGACACATCGACACACCGTCATATTGACACACCGACACATCGACACACCGCCAAATTGACACACCGACACATTGACACACCAACACATTGACACACAGACACATCGACATACCGTCACATTCACACACTGACACATCTACACACCGCCACATTGACACACGGTCACATTGACACACCGACACATTTACACACCGACACATTGACACACCGACACATCGACACACCGCCACATTGACACACCGACACATCGACACACCGACACATTGACATCGATACATCTACATACTGATACATCTACATACCGCTACATTGATACTCCGACACATCGACACACCGCCACATTGACAGATCGACACACCGCCACATTGACACACCGACAAATCGACACACCGCCACGTTGACACACCGATACATCTACATACCGCTACATTGACAGATCAATACACCGCCACATTGACACACCGATGCATCGACACACCGCCACATTGACAGACCGAGACATCGACACACCGCCACATTTACACACCGATACATCGACACACCGTTACATTGACACATCGACACATCGACACATCGACACACCGTCACATTGACACACCGACACATCGACACATCGTCACATTGACACACCGACACATCGACACACCGCCACATTGATACTCCGACATATCGACACACCGCCACATTGACACACCGACAAATCGACACACCGCCACGTTGACACAACGATACATCTACATACCGCTACATTGACAGATCAATACACCGCCACATTGACACACCGATGCATCGACACACCGCCACATTGACAGACCGATACATCGACACACCGCCACATTTACACACCGATACATTGACACACCGTCACATTAACACACAGACACATCGACACACCGTCACATTGGCACACCGACACATCAACACACCGTCACATTGACACACCGACACATCGACACACCGTCACATTGACACACCGACACATCGACACACCGCCACATTGACACACCGACACATTGACACACCGCCACATTGACACACCGACACATCGACACACCGTCACATTGACACACCGACACATCGACACACCGACACATTGACACACCGACACATCGATATACCGTCACATTGACACACCGACACATCGACACACCGCCACATTGACACACCGACACATTGACACACTAACACATCAAAACATCGCCACATTGACACACCGACACATCGACACACCGCCACATTGACACACCGATACATCGACACACCGCCACATTGACACCGATACATGAACACACCGACACATCGACACACCGTCATATTGACACACCGACACATCGACACACCGCCAAATTGACACACCGACACATTGACACACCAACACATTGACACACCGACACATCGACATACCGTCACATTCACACACCGACACATCTACACACCGCCACATTGACACACGGTCACATTGACACACCGACACATTTACACACCGACACATTAACACACCGACACATCTACACACCGCCACATTGACACACCGACACATCGACACACCGCCACATTGACACACCGACAAATCGACACACCGCCACGTTGACACAACGATACATCTACATACCGCTACATTGACAGATCAATACACCGCCACATTGACACACCGATGCATCGACACACCGCCACATTGACAGACCGATACATCGACACACCGCCACATTTACACACCGATAAATTGACACACCGTCACATTAACACACAGACACATCGACACACCGTCACATTGGCACACCGACACATCAACACACCGTCACATTGACACACCGACACATCGACACACCGTCACATTGACACACCGACACATCGACACACCGCCACATTGACACACCGACACATTGACACACCGCCACATTGACACACCGACACATCGACACACCGTCACATTGACACACCGACACATCGACACATCGTCACATTGACACACCGACACATCGACACACCGCCACATTGATACTCCGACAGATCGACACACCGCCACATTGACACACCGACAAATCGACACACCGCCACGTTGACACAACGATACATCTACATACCGCTACATTGACAGATCAATACACCGCCACATTGACACACCGATGCATCGACACACCGCCACATTGACAGACCGATACATCGACACACCGCCACATTTACACACCGATAAATTGACACACCGTCACATTAACACACAGACACATCGACACACCGTCACATTGGCACACCGACACATCAACACACCGTCACATTGACACACCGACACATCGACACACCGTCACATTGACACACCGACACATCGACACACCGCCACATTGACACACCGACACATTGACACACCGCCACATTGACACACCGACACATCGACACACCGTCACATTGACACACCGACACATCGACACACCGACACATTGACACACCGATACATCTACATACCTTCACATTGCCATACCGACACATCGACACACCGCCACATTGACACTCCAACACATCGACACGTTGACACATTGATACGTCAACGTATCGACCGACGTTTTACCTTACGTGAATTTGTCGAGTGGACAAAGGTACACATAAATTAGTATAGCATTGTTGTTCGTACGCCGGCTTAGTGGTTTCATTACAGTTAATCGCGTTTTCACCTGCAAGAACACTTGCGGAAATCTTTTCGTAAGTTTCTTGCTATTCTGTTTATCGAATGAATTCTTGCAATTTTTCCTTTCATTGCGAACATGAACATCGATATGTATCGTGAAATAATCGGTCTGTAATATAGAATAATATCTAATGCATTCTATAAAGACAGAGATGCCCACCAATCATTAATTTACATAAATACTTTAAATTCCTATTTTAAATCGAGTGTACTTGTTGCGAGATATACGAACCTAGACCGGTACGCAGCGAGATCTGCCGCGAGTCGATGTGAACATGTTTACAACGCAATCAACTGCACTCACAAGGAAACACGTCAGTGTCACGCAACATATTAAGAAAGTTTGTGTAGGTTAGTGATATTTTTAAGTGAAAATTTCTTTACAATAGCGGTAATTTAAAACTCAATGAAATGAAAAAGCGACATTAAAGAGAGATAAACGTATACATCTATAGGATTTATCCTGAGAGAGAATGAGATATAGTGTTTCCTAATATTTGGGTCTTTTTTATGCAGTGCTTCAAAGATGATTGATATAAAGCTTGATTGTTAAAATAAAAAGTTTAAAATAAAATAAAAAATGAGTGAGTCTTATAGTAGTTGCCTATGGGTCAGCGCACACCAAGAGCAGAGCAGAGCATTTTCTGAGAACACTAAAATATTAATTTTATGACTATTGACAGACAGTCCAAAATTATATACACGTCCAAATTTGATGCTCGACCACGCTCGAGCTTGTAGGATGCATGTTCGAGCATGCGCGAGCGCACTCGCACCGCCGCCGTCCGCTCTCAGTATTGCCTCAGCGAAAAAACTGTTTGGACGTGTGTTTAGTTTATACCTATAAGCGCGTCACATAAGTAGGAATCATGGACGAAGAAAAGTTGATAAGTTTGGTGCAGCGTTTTGAGTGTCTGTACAATATCTAATAATATATCAAGTCCAACGTACAGCGATGGTATGTAAAAAGCCAATGCTTGGGAAAGAACCTCCACGTTTCTTCTACCCATACTGTCCTTCTAATTTTCTGAAGTCTGATTTTATTAAAACGTTCTTTATGTTCCTCTTCCTCTACCAAAAGGTAATCGCCAAGTCTCGATCGATCATATTGAACACGTCTATCAACGTCAGATTTTGGCATCAAATTGGTCATGCACGCCTCCCTAGCAACACAGAGCACTTTCAATGGATCTTGCTCACAAAGGCGCGCGGATGCCGCCTGTATGGTCGAGTAGTCAAAATTGTGGTCGAGCATGCGCGAGCATTTTGCAGTTCGGTCTGCGCTTACCCGTAGATGTTTATGTTATGTATATATATGTATATGTTATCATGTAGTATCTGACATCTTGGTACTTAATTAAAAAATCAAAGAAATAAACATAAAAATTTATTTGTGAAAATTAAATGCTGAAATATGCAGTGTGTCTGGTCACGACCTAGCGATAATTTAAAGTTACAAAATATACCTAATTTCATCGACGAAAACACCCATATATAGGGATCTACGCCCTCTCCTGTCGGAATGGCCGCCATTTTTTTTATTCTTGTAGATACCTCTGCCAAAAGATGCAGATTTCTCTGGACAGAGAGGTCCTACAGATGTAAAAAAAATGTTATTTAAAAGGTAAAAATAGCATCTATCAAATAAAAATAAACATCACGGAAAGTTTTTCCTACAAAATATCTTAAAACATTTACAATGCTAATTTAAGTAAAAAAAAATTGACTATTTTTTTAATTTTCTTAACATATTTCAAAAACTAGCACATTGATACTAAATTTTTTAATACTGTCCTAATACTTAAGGATATTACTTACAAATTGACATTAAAATTATTGTTCTTAATTGCATAACTCGAGAGTTAGGGCTGTTTGAATATGACCCTTTTGCGAGGGTCATGTATGTAGAGCCTCATATGAGCGCTATTAATTTTCGATAATGGATTAAATAAAAATACACTATAACTTTTAAGAAACTTTTAATGGCATTAAGTACTATTATTAATTTAATAATTGTTCAAAATGTCCACCTCTATTCTGTAGACAGGCTACTGACCTTACAGCCATTTGTTGTGTGGCCCTTGATATTAAGACTATGTCGGATCTTATGTCATCCGCAATCGTCATTATTTTGTCGAGCAGTTCTTGTCTGCTATTTGGGACTGTAGCATAAACCCTCTGCTTCATCCATCCCCATAAAAAATAATCCAGAGGTGTTAAATCCGGAGAGCGAGGTGGCCAAGCTACCGTTCCACCACGTCCTATCCATGGTGAATAATTTTCATTAAGAAAAGCTCTCACAGCACGTGCGTAGTGAGCTGGTGCACCGTCCAACTGTAGCCACATGCGCCTTCGGTTGATCACTGGTAATTCCTCCATGATTTCTCTAAATGTGTCCCTTAGAAAATCTAAAAATCTTAGGCCATTCATTGTATTTGGTAATTCAATTGGTCCAATTAATTTGTCATCAATCATAGCCGCCCACACATTTACTGAAAATTCATGTTGAAATTTACTGGGCCTTACTGCATTTGGATTTTCTTGCATCCATAAATGCTGGTTTCTATGGTTTATAATACCAGCTCTTGTAAAAGTCGCCTCATCGATCCACATGATTTTTTTACAAAATGTCGGTTGACGTCGCACACAACCGTTGAGTCACGAGCAAAAAGTGGCTCGCACAGCATAGTCTGGCTCTCGAATATCTTGTACGCGACGAAAATGGTACGGATGCATGCCTTCGCGTTTTAAAATTTTCCCCACAACCCATTTTGACAAATGCAGCACCATTGCTATTCGCCTTACACTGAGCTTGGGATCTCGGTAAATTAATTGAAGAACTTCTTCTTCTGCTTGCACTGACACTATGCGGGAGCGTTCATTTGGCGGCCTTTGGATGCCATATTGCGACAATCTTAAGTGAATGTCTTCGATACCTGCGCTGGTCAAACATGATTTTTTGTCCTACTTATTCATCGCCTAACAATAATACAAATCATTTTCCGTCCTTGTCACATAAACCCTATTCAATGTAGCAGGTAGCTCTACATGGGTTTGGGACCGTCGCAAAAGGGTCATATTCAAACAGCCCAAACTCTCGAGTTATGCAATTAAGAACAATAATTTTAATGTCAATTTGTAAGTAATATCCTTAAGTATTAGTACAGTATTAAAAAAAAATAGTATCAATGTGCTAGTTTTTGAAGTATGTTAAGAAAAATAAAAGAAATAGTCAATTTTTTTCACTTAAATTAGCATTGTAAATGTTTTAAGATATTTTGTAAGGAAAACTTTCCATGATTTTTATTTTTATTTGATAGATGCTATTTTTACCTTTTAAATAACATTTTTTTTACATCTGTAGGACCTTCCTGTCCAGAGAAATCTGCATCTTTTGGCAGAGGTATCTACAAGAATAAAAAAAAATTAAATGGCGGCCATTCCGACAGGAGGGGGCGTAGACCCCAATATATGGGTGTTTTCGTCGATGAAATTAGGTATATTTTGTAACCTTAAATTATCGCTAGTTCGTGACCAGACACACTGTATATTCAAATAATTATTCATTATTACTTACTTGATTTTTTATCAATGATTGTACTTTTTTCAGACACCAATAGTATTACCAATAGTAAATACATTTATTCATATAGTTTACACGTATAAGTTAGTACATAATAGCACATTTAATTTCTACTGTGCGCGCGCATTGGTGAAATGAAATAGCACACGCATCCTCGTTTTCTTGCTACACTTAAAGATGTTACACGTCAATTAAATTAAGTGTATGAAATAATTAAAATTATTATATGTAATCACTTCATAACAATTAACGATTGTATAATTTCAGGTTTAGTGTTTTCATGTGTCTGTATATTTGTCGATTACGAATCGTTATACTCGTTATACTTGGTAACAATATTATAATAAAAAAGTGCTACACTTATCGTTGTTATAAAATTAAACACGTATGTTCTGTTCAACGATATATTGGACAGTAAAAATATTTTAATGAATGAATATGAGCGTTATAAACACATAGTGTTGATATAGGCGGGTGGTGCGGGCGGTGCGGGCGGGGGTGCGCGGCCGCACGTTGTGGCGGACGGGCCGGTGACGGTGGCGCGGCGCGGCGCGGCGCGTGCGCTGGGCGTGGTGCGGCGCGCGGCGCGCGGCACGCTGTGCGGCGCGCTGGCGGCGGGCGCGGCGCCGCGCGACCTGCGCGCCGGCCTGCGCGCCGCGCCGCTCGTGGCGCAACTCACGCTGCGCGACGCGCGCCTCGAGCTGTGCGCCGCCACGCCGCAGGGCCCGCTGCCGGCGCCCGTGCCCCAGGTAACCAACCCAACTAACAATTTTTATTGTTATAACGTCTACAAATGTTGGGTGTGTTAGCATAATTTATGGATGTCGCCGCCGGAGGACCCGAAAAAACCAAATTACTTTTAATAATTTTAATTTAAAATAACTATTTTATAAATTTTACACTTAAAGAGCTAATACTAATTAAATCTACACTTGTTCGATGCTAGAAACGTGGTTACGTCACATCGTGAAGTTTTGTATATGACATGACGGCGGCGCCGTCGTACGTTGGTACAGCCAAATTGTAAAGAATACGTGCAGCGACCGCGTCGCCCGGTGCGTCGCTCAGTTTCCCCCACCACCCCACTACTGTGCTTGTTTTACAACAACGGGTATAAAACGACTGCACAGCGGCGGGGTAGGCAGTCATGGCTCTGGCGACGACGCTACTGGCGTCACTGTGATTCCACGGGCCTCACTGTGAATGAACGGCGGCCGCATTTCCTATCAAGTCAGCAGATTTATCTCGCGGCATTAAGTTTCCAGTAAAGTGTTATGTCGATTGGTTCACACCGCGTACGTCATTGCGAGTCCACGGCGACCGAATTCCCCATCAAGTCAGCAAAAATGCCTCGTGGAGATAATATTGAAATGTTGTGTGGGAATATGAGATTGCCGCGGTTTTGTAAGGATTATATATCCATATAACACCTTCCCTCTGAGAACAGCAACTATTTCCGAGTCTTGAGATAATGAAATATTGCTGTATGTTTGTCTGTCTGTTTCTGTGGTTCAGATTTTCCGGGTTTCGTGTCGATGTCTTCTTTAGACGGGGCTTGCGACGATTTTCCAGTGCACATTTAAGGTGTTGTAATCCGCCCGCACCGAGTATATATCATCGTGACATTAGGGAATGACAAAATGTAATCTTTCTCATCAAGTTCCTCAAGCCGTTCTAGACAGGGTGACGGTAGTCATCTGTCAGGTCTTGCTAAGGAATTGATTGATGACGAGTTCTTGCGTGCAACCTGGATGCTGTCGAAACTGATAGTCCATCTTCTCCCTATAGAGATACCAGTAACTGTAGTTCGGGTATACAGCCTCTATGTACATAACCTTTCCTGTTTGTTGTTATCAACGGATAAGGAGGGAATAAAGCCTGCCGGTATCTAGGGCGAATGTAGATAATTTAAAGATAATGATTATTTTATTTCCCGCATAATAATCAGTTTATTTTATTGTTACGAGCTTGGTGTTCTAGCCACTAAAAACTGCCGATTAAATTACCAAAATTGACGCTTTAATTACCGAACACCAATTACAACTTAAAACACACTAATAATAAAACACAATTGTACTATTGATCACGTTAGCTCGCAGTTATATCGCTTCGAAGTATTCGCTTGAATAGCCAATTCAATATTGACTCGGGTCGCGGTCGATACCGGCCTTATTATATGGGGCCTCTTCTACTGAACCATTTAGAATGTTCGAAGTACATACTGGTCCTGATTGACTAAGTGTAGGAAGTTCTGGCAAGGAAATCTCTAGAAGGATCGCGACTCTTAGTTCTGCTACTCGGTACTAAAAGGCGCTAGTAGTAACTAATGACTCCGTGTACCAGGCATTAATTATGGCGCGTCATACTGCCCCCTCCTAAAACATGCTCGTCCCGTACATTATCGGCCATATAGTAACGCGCCAGTCGATCCGCATGGACAATGTTAGGAGTACCTCTTTGTGTATCCGGTAGGTTACGTCATTGATCCTGGGCACAATCCGGTACGGTTCGTCCCATTTAACGTGAAGCTTAGGAGATTTATCTTTGCTGCGGACTGGATTGTGATAGCGGAATCGCGCCTCCCCCGGTATACGCGGGGCAGCCTGAGCACCCACGCGAAGAGTAGGATAACTTGATCGTGGATGCTCAGTAAGGGATTCTCCGTCACTAAGGGTGCTGGTACCCTCCTGGAGTAGTTTTTTATTGATTCCGTTACCATGTTAAGGGGGGGGAGGAATGGGCCTCCGGCCATCTGCACATACCAAGCGAAACGCAGTAGTAAATTTCTACTTATTGCCGGCATATCCGTGGGACAGCGAAAGCTGCCACGTGGCGCTACCACTGGTAAATAGTAATTAAAATATAAGCGACGGTGACGCTGTAATTAACGAACAAACTATTTCTAATTGTGTAGTTAGTCAGTGCCTACCTACTGTACGGAATAACCGCGGATTTATTGAAATCGTGAACCCGATGCAACACTACTTAATATTTCCTCTAGATCGTCCCGTTCACGCGGGGTCTTATAATATTGAGTGCACGCGTACTCAAGAAACATTGTCACGAGCGGAAGAAGTTTTGTCGCATTTACTAATGAATCATTTGAACTCCGAGGAACGAGCAAATTTAGAGTTATTTAGAAAATATGCTGACGTATTTTATATAGACTGAGAAAAATTAACGTTCACGAACAAAATTGAAAATTATATTAGGACAACAAACGAAATCACTATGTACACAAAAAGTTACCGATATGCATATATGTGTGTACATCAGTAAAATGCTGGAAAGAGGCATAGTTCGGCTTTCGGAGTCCGCATGGAGTTCACCCGTACCAATAGTTCCAATAAAAGTTGACGCATCTGGAAAAAAACAAATGACGTCATATCATTGACTTCCGCAAACTAAACGATAAAACTTACGATGATAAATACCCCATACCAAACATAAATGACGTGCTAGATAAGCTAGGGAACTGTCGGTATTTTACCACTTTGGACTTCGCTAGTGGGTTTTATCCGGTACAAATGGATCCAAACCTCTACTAACATATAAAATAGCCACTACGAGTTTGTTTGCATGTCGATGGGCTTAAAAAACTCGCCATCAACATTCCAACGTGTGATGAATAACATGCTTAAATATCTGTATAATACCGTGTGTTTTGTCTATTTAGACGACATCATTGTATTCAGCACATCTCTGTAAGAACACATGATTAATCTTGAAAAGGTCCGAGAGAAAAGACTCCGAGATGTGCACATTTAAGATGCTGTAAAACTTTAAATTTAATCAAACTTTAAAATCCAGTTAGATAAGTCGGAGTTCCTTAAACTAGAAACTGCTTACCTCGGACACGTGACCAATAAAGATGGCATAAAACCGAGTCCTGATAAAATTTCTGCCATTCAGAAAAACCCACTTCCTAGAATGCCTAAGGAAAGTAAGCAGTTCTCGGATTGATAGGTTACTATCGAAAATTCATTCCAGACTTTGCACGTATAACAAAACCTTTAACAGAGTGTCTAAATAAGACAAACCAGTGTGCTATGCTTCTCGTACTCTAAACGGGAGTGAGATCAGTTACACCACCTTCGAAAAAGAACTCCTTGTAGTCTGGGCAATCAAATATTTTAGGCCATATTTATTCGGAAGGAAATTTAAAATCGTGACAGATAATAAGCCACTCCAGTGGGTTATGAATCTTAAAGAGCCCAACTCGCGTTTAACTCGTTGGAAGATCAAAATTTCGGAGTATGATTTCACTGTGACTTATAAAAAGGGCAGTTTTAATGCTAACGCCGATGTGTTGCATCGAAATTCACAATGAGGAGACTAGTTCGATGATGGCAAATCCATCTGAGCACCAACCTTCAGTAGAGAGCTCATCTACTGCCTTTGCGCACACAAGCTTCGAGAATCAAATTTTAGAAGTTCCAACTAATTTTATAACGGTTGTTGGCGATATTAAGAAGCGTCCGACAGCCTTTAAGCCCTTTGATACTCACACAAAGACATCTGTAAACGTATCTATGTCAAATTTAAAAGCTGATGTTATAGACGTAATTAAACGTCCGCTTAGTGGCATACCTAGAACAAAATGACCTTAGTGACCGGCATTACGGGTTTCGGCGAAATCGGTCAGCCGGGGACCTTCTAGCGTATGCCAAACACGTATGGGGTGAGGTACTCGAGAATAGTGGGGAAGCACTTGCTGTTTCCTTTGAAGTCTCGACGGTCTTTGACAGAGTTTGGCACGCTAGCCTTTTGAGTAAGCTTCCAACGTACGGCTTATCCGCTGGTCTGATTGAATGGGTAAAGGTCTCTCTGAGTGAACGGTCTCTCCCGGTCGTCGTCGATGGCTGCTCATCCGATCCTCTGGCGACTGACGCCGGTGTTTCTCAGGGGTCCATCCTCTCCGCAACTCTCTTCCTGCGGCATATTAACGATCTGCTTATACCCGGTATCTATGGGTATGCAGACGATAGCACAGTTGTGGAGAGATACCAACCAAGTTGACGGGCCAGACGGGATCAAATCCAGTCCGAAAGAGAGGCTATGATTGAGCGTGTGAATCTCACACTACAGGCAGTCTCCGAATGGGACGATGCTAATCTCGTGAGATTCATTGCCTCCAAAACACAAGCTTGTCTTTTCACCGCTAAAAGGAGCCCGCTCACCCTGGCTCCTACTTTCCGAAATGTATCCTTGGAGTACACTGACCGCCTTCGGTTGTCAGGGGTTGAATTTTCTCCGAACCTCAACTATGGGCGGTTCATTAAGTCCAGAGCCAAAGCAGCTGCAAGAACACTTGGTGTTCTTGCAAGGGTGCGGCGGTACTTCACGCCGGGACAGCTTCTTTCCTTATATAAAGCGCAAGTCCGGTCGTGTATGGAGTACTGCTGTCACATATGGACTGGTGCTGCAAAATGCCACCTGGCAGTGTTGGACTCAGTGTAGAGACGTCATTGGTTTAGTTGAATCCAACATGGTCAGCCTCGAGCAGAGTAGCCAGCCTCTCGGTATTCTATGGGATGCATTTTTAGATTTTTAAGAAGAAAGGGAATGCAGTATGAAAGAAAAATTAGATATAAATCAGACAAGGTTATAAAAAATTTAGGTTTGACAAGGGATTGAAATATATAGGATGATAACATTAAATATAATTGTAAACTTACTAGTAGTACAAGGTCCTATAACAAAGAGATCAGTCCTTTCTGACGTAGATCGCCTATTTGACTCATTTGCT